CCGCCGGGCAGAAGCCTGGACGGACCTTCTGTTGCTACGGAGATTGTCAGGCGACTCGTTGTCAGAACTTACCAAAGCCGAATGGCGGAGAGTCACGGAGCGGGCGCAGGACTATCGCTGGCAAGGCCCGACGTTACAAAAACGGAAGGTCGATGACGACGGAGAGTCTAGCTGGTTGACGGTTCCACACCCTCTTGCTAGGTTCGATTGGACACGAGCCGCTCATGAGGAGGATGCGGTCCATTTCGCAGTCAAGTACACGGAAAAAACCATCGAAAAGAATGGATGGTACTGGTCGGGAATTCGGGAAGATGTGAAATACATCGTTCAGAATTGCCCAGCCTGCGCGGCGGACAAGACGCCGGTACCGATGCCTCGAACAATGGTGTCCACTCGTGTAGAGCGCCCCTTTCAAAGGGTTAGCATCGATACGACGGATATCAACGATCCGAGAGGGTCCGTCGATCAGGGAGAACTCAATGTTCTTTTAGTGCCCGTCGGTCATTTTTCAAAATGGATTGAGGCGTACCCTATGACCAGCCGGAATTCGCAGGAAGTAGCTTGGTGCGTAAATCGATAGGGCCTAAAATCGAGTGCAACACGGGCCTAAAATCGAGACAAGTAACTGAGAACCAATAGTGTCCCTCGGGTGCAATTGTCCCCCTTAGTAGGTACGGAAGTTAGAGCAACACGGGCCTAAAATCGAGACAAGGTCCGCCACTACATGGACTTAATAGCTAGGGCCTTTCCCCCTTAGCTCGACGTCGACAGCAGGCCGTAGATCGGACACATCAACGGCAGATCCGTGACTACGAAAATCGACACGCGTCGACGGGACCACTGCCCCGCTATAAAGTTGGGGACTTGGTGCAGGTACGAAAATCTGCGCGCTCCTCCAAGATCCACCCACGCTACACAGGCATTTACAAGGTCACGGAAGTTGGCGCACAGGGACAGCACTCCGTGAAGCTGATTCCCCGTCACAACTCCCAGGCCCGACCGCTGACACGGCACACTGCCACGCTCCGGCCCTTCCAGCCATCGCTAGGTCCCCTACGGACCCCCGCTCCTGCGAGATCACCCTCTCCTCGTTCATCCTCCTCCTCTTCCCAATCTGCCTCGTCCATTGGTGCTGAGAGTTTCAAGAAGCAGGATGAACCATCACCAGCCGGAGCATGAGCCCCTCGAGCACTTCCAGACGCCGCTTGCGGATCGCTTGTTGCGGCATCGGTTTAATGAGGAGAGGCAGTTGCGGTACGACATCCAACAGGTGAACGTGCCAGCGCCCGGGGTTGCTGATTTGGCAGCGTACTCGGTGCTCTGCGATCGGCTGACATATGCGGGAGTGTACGTGGACGTGACGCAGTTGCCTGGTCGGGAGACGACCCAAGTATTCATTGAGTTCCGTGCGCTCCAGGTGGCACCCAACTTCGTGCACAGCGTCGCCACCTTCATCGGAGACTTGACGGTCCTACCGCAGCAGAATCGGGAGCCAGCGCGCAGCTTTGTGCGCGAATACGTGGTGGAAGCGGCCAGATCAGTGGCCAGAGTGCAAGGACGGGGGGGACACATTTTCACAGCCCACGAAGTGTTGCTGCGTAGGGCAGAGGACGGACCGATTGCGTTGGTGCCGCAGCTCCCCGCGTTTCTCCCTCCCGCTGCTCCTCTCAACCTCCAAGCTATTCCCCTTGTCCCGTACTAAATGCCTCCTTTCTTCTTCTACACCACCCTCCCCTACCAGCTCATGGAGGGCTCTTACCCCATGCGCGTGTTCTCGGAGTATTTGGTGGAGCTAATTGACGTGGATCCGCTGCCCTTCGTCGACAAAGACGCGTGGGAGCTGCACCGTGCGCTGTACAAGTCGGTGGCGCTGGGGATGTTCCGGTTCTTCGTGGATCACGAAGTCCACGCTAACGGGGAGCACTTCATCGTTTACTACGTCATCGCGCGGCCCAAGCCAGCGGAGAAGGAAGGGACGGTGGCGCTGTACCCCTTCGCCCAGCTCCAGACGATCGATCCAAGATTGTTGGAGCTCATACACCTTGAGCTCCTCTCCATTGCGCAAGTGATCGTGAGCGAGGAGGAGGAGATCCAACCACGATTGCGGACAGCGATGGCCCCGCGGAGGACGTACAATGCGGTCGTCATCTCAGATTTCATTGCGCAGCGGGCGGAGAGGTTGGAGGACTTCCCGGAGGAAAGGCCGTTGCAGCCTCCCTCATCGTATCCTCGACCAGCGCCACCAAAGGCCCCTAAGAAGACGCCGAAGAGGCAGAGACGCCACCCGTCGCCAGGAGCGCAAGGCAGCAGGATCGGCGGCGGCGAGGAGGTGATTCAGCCCGCGCGTACACGGATTCCTGACCCTGCGCCTGGGAGTGCGGCGACGCTCATTAAGGAGACTATCGTGCCATCGCCGCCCATTCCGCGTGTGCCCGATCTCAATCTTGATGGAGTCGGGCCATCATCAGCAGCAGCAGTCGGAGGAGGAAGCCGAATGGGATTTCCGGATCCCATATCCAGACCCCCCGTCCTCGAGGGACCTCTTCGTTCCCGCCAGCCACCCCGGGGTGCCCCGGTCATTGACATTAGTAGTTCATTCGAGCCGGACGGTCCATCCGACCGAGGTGGACCTCATGGTGGAGCCCGCCACCATCAGGCTCGAGGCCATCGTGGGGGCGCCGCGCCCTGATCCGGCGTGGGAGCCATCTCTGACACCCCCTTTCCAAGGGTGTATTGCGGCGCGATTGGCTGGGACGCTCATCTACGGGACCGGGCAGCGTCCAAATGAGATGTACCACTTCTTGGTCTTCGCAGCGCAGAAGCGGGAGCGGCAGCCTTACACAGAGACTCATGTGGTGATGACGGATCCAGGGCCCCGATCGGTGCGCAAGCGGGTGGTGCGAGCAATAGCGGATCTGGCGCCACGTGTCCTCTCACATGTGCCGGGGGCTTTCCTTTACCCCTCATTCGTCCATCATCACTTCCATGAGGAAGATGAGCTGACGACTCCTGCGGCAATGGCCGCTTTTCTTCCACCTATTCCCCCCCCTCTCAATCCCGACATAGATCACTTCCTCTGATCACCCTCCCCTACCTCTCCCCTCTCCTCTCCTTCTCCTTCTCCTYTTTTTCTTCTTCTTTTCCGGATCTAAAGCTCGCGCAACGATACGCGCTGTATATATATATATATAAAAAAAAAAAAATACTTTTACTTACCGATCGGGCCAGCTGACGATGAAGGGGCCGCCCAATCGAATGTATACTATGGGAGGAGGCGATGGAGGATGCAGGATGCATCCACGTAGATTAGGAAGATGATCGGGCCAGCTGACGATGAAGAGCCCGCCCGATCATCCATGATATGATGGAATCAGTAGTCCGGAGATTGCTAATTTTTTGGAACCCCCTGCGTATCACAGATGTGATAAGCTCAGATCCGTACCGCGCGGCTTTCCGTATCCCTGAGGAAAAATCCCGCGGAAGCCCCGAAGTACGGACGCGGATAGAAAGGGGGTTTTCTTTCTTTTTGCTTTTGTTTTCTTTTTGAAACGGCTTTTTCATTTTGTTTGGTTAATAACTCCCGCGGGGGAATAGCGGTCGCGGTATGAAAACCAAGAAACGGGTGCGGTTGGGACTTTTTGAATTTTTGCGCGCGTGCCCAAGCTCCGATTTCTTTGCGCGTCTCGCATCCCCGTTTCTTGCTTTGCATCCTCGCGCCATCTTCCCTTCTTGCTGCGCGCGTCTCGCATCCCCGTTTCTTGCTTTGCATCCTCGCGCCATCTTCCCTTCTTGCTGCGCGCGTTTTCCCCATGTAGGACTCTTCGTCTTCCCCTACGCCCAGCTTGATCCTTACCCCGTCTTCCTCCGCGAAGTGATTGGCTGCGTAGTTGGGATGCTCGGATCAATGTGGAAAGCGGGAAACCGCGCACCACTTGGACGAACACCCCAATCATGTAGCCATGCAATCCCGCGGGTCGAACCCTCTAACTCCCCACCTCTCTCTCTTGTCCTGCTCATCTACACCCTGCGCTGCCCGCACCTCGCGCTGTTAACCCGCCGCCTCCCACGCTATAAATTTGCGCAACCCTCTCCTCTCCTCCTCTTTGATCTCGGCTGCAATGCTGCGCGAGCTATGCGCGAGAGTCTGCGGCGCCGAACAGGCTCGACGAGCCCAAGGACGGGCGGAGTGACGATGTGGGGTGGGCCCCGCGGTAGTCTCAGGGCTAAGCAGTCGGAGGGACTGAGCAGTGGTGGGAAAATTGGACGCCAGCCGCGGCAGGGCCTTATGGCTATGGTGGTCGGTGGTCTTGGGAAGTTTTGAAGGCTGCGCCTGGGGACCGCAGCTAATTGAATTTTTTGTGTACAAGAAGGACTCGCTTTTATCTCCATTGCTGCTTTGTCCATGCATGTCGTGTGTGTGAAGCCCCTAGTGATGGGAGTTGGTTGTGCGCACGAGTGATGTCGAAGGTTCATGGATAATTAGATGTTCTGTCAAGAGTTAATGATTGCATGCATGTATGTGTGTATGTACTCGTCCGGGCGGGGATGGGGAAGCTGAACTGGGGGACCGTCTGCTTAGGAGTATGAGTGTGTTGATCCGGTTGTTCCCCTCCCCTCCGCAGCCTTTTTTGCGCTCTCGCGCGGTCTC